TATGGCTTCCCCTCTAAGCCCTTCACCAATTAAGTGGCCCTCCTCTGGACACTCTGTGCCCAGTGGCTTTCATTGTTTCCAGTGTGTACTGATACATGTCCAATATATTTTTATGTTGATATTTAGTCCTATTTAGATGGGGTTTTTTTAACTGAACTTTTGAAGGGGAAGTACAGATTTCTTGAAATACTGTGTTAAAAATAACTCCAGAATTCTAAAAAAGTGTGGAACACTGTTCTTTAATTTTAAACTTGACATATGGTGGTTGCAAAGGTTTACAGCAGTGTTGGGTCCTGGCAGCAGGATTACAAGAAACTGTACTTCAAGTGAGGACGAGAGACAGAAGGATTCATGTTTATTTTTGCACGTTAATTGTGTCTGGAAAGCTGAGCAGGTCTCACCCTTTCTCTTCTTTACTCACTCAGTTTAACTGGTAGCAGCTAAACAGGAGAGAACATAAACGCATGTGCACCAGAAGAATGGAAGATAAAGATTGTGCTTATTGTTATTTTTGCCATTATGTCTTTGAGTGTTACAAGCGTGGAAAAAAACACACCCTATCGCGTGTTTCTAAAACAATTTTAAAATTATCTTAAGGAGTGCAATTTTTGAAGTGGCTTTACTAGAACATTAATTTGTCAGGTTTTTGTGCATTCAAGGTTATCAAAGTTTGTCTTCGTCCGAGACTTCTCTTTTTAAAATAATTCTGAAACATTGAACACCAAACCTTTGAAGACCATATCACTATTTTCAAATATTAAAAGTTCATGTAACAACTAATAAAATTGGATATCTAATAGTTTGGTTTTTCTTTTCTGTTTTAAAATAGGCCTTGATGTCAAAAGTGAAGCATGCCAGCGATTTTTTCGAGATGGGTTAACAATATCCTTCACAAAAATCCTTACAGATGAGGCAGTGAGCGGCTGGAAGTTTGAGATTCATGTGAGTTTTTAAAGTTGTGTTTCTGTAAAGCATGGTAATTTAAGTGAGGAAGGAGACTGCAGAGACTGAATCTAATTTTTTAAGCTCATCTCAGCAGAGAACTCTGAGAAGTCTTGTATACATGGCTCTGGGGCTGGGGGAAGTCATCCCTCTATCATTGTTTCATCTTACTGCCTCTGGTGTTTTTGGAAGGAAATAAAACATGAGAGATGATATGGGGAGGAACTGAACTTTGGCTCTTGTTAGGCAGGCTGTCTTTGGCCAGATGTCTAGAGACATGCTTATTTTTATGTGCATGCTAGGACATGAAATCTTGCTTTTTAAGTAAAAGCTTTTAGCAACCTGCTAACTTCTGAATGTTTGTAGCAACTGTTTGAATATAAAAACTACTTGTTGGACAGCTAATCACATAGCGAATGAGAAGCTGTGACGATCTTCATAGGCAAATTAAAATCTGTGAGAGAAATAGATGAAAGAAGGAAAATTTAATAGTTCAGTGGTGATTTATGAATGTCTCAAATAACCAAAAATATTTTCATCTTTTCCCTGAATTTAATTTTCAGCTGTAAACAGATAATTTAAACTTTAAAACCTTTATTGGAGGAAGTACAAATTAAGAAACAACATTGTAAAACTCCTTTGCAACTCTGCATGCTAGGTACACATCATTCAGACTTCAAGGTTCATATTCGTCGTACGAATAACCGCCGTATTCTTGATTGTTGTTTTTTTCTTTATAGAGATGCATTATTAACAACACTCATCGACTAGTGGAACTCTGTGTGGCCAAGCTGTCCCAAGATTGGTTTCCCCTTCTTGAACTTCTTGCCATGGCCTTAAATCCTCACTGCAAATTCCATCTATACAATGGTACTCGTCCCTCAGAAACAGTTCCTGCAGGAGTCCAGCTCGCTGAAGATGAACTTTATGCCCGTCCTCCTGACCCACGATCACCAAAGGTACGAGAGCATTTTCAGACCTGTATTTTTAATTTTACGCAGTGTTTGACTCGTACATCAAATCATGATTGGTTAAATTTCCCCTTCTAACTCTGAATTTGGGTCTTTGGTCCACAATCAAATTCTGTCATGTGTTTCTGTCGTAAGCTGGCACAACTCTATTGGAATGCCATTCCTACTGTGTTAATTGGCTTGCTTGTATTTACCAGTTGATGGGTTTACCTTCAGACTCAGCATGATTTTGTAGGTGACGTATTTTGAGGAGGGGGATATGTGAGATGAAGTAGTTCCCGATGATGGGAGAAATGTTTTTAATTGGACATAGGATGCTTGTGTCAGTGTGGTTTTGGGTTTTCTTGTGTTGGTTTGTTTTTTTTGGGGTGTGGTGGTGGTTTGGGGATTGGGTTTTTTTGTTGGGGGTGGTGTTTTTTTTTTGAACTGGCAGTGCAGATTAGCAATTGTTCTGGTTCTTTGGTCTGAATTTCAGAATTGCACTCCAGGTGGTATTGGTACAACCTCAGGAGCTAACCAGATTATATTATAGTTTAGTTGCTTTCTTCCCTTTTTTAAATTTCTTTCTTTTTAGTAGAACTACTAGCTATTGATATGTAAGAACCAAAGATAAATAACTCTGTCCTTGGACTTCCTTGCATTACAAACCACGTTTAGAAGAATGTTATTTTGCATTCTTACTGCTTTTATATGTAGTGTTATCACATCCAGGACCAGAAAAAAATGCCAGAATCATCATACTTTGTGTAGTAACTTAGCAGCCAAAGATTAACTTGGAAGTATGGTCATTTTTATTTCTATATATTTGATAAAATCCTTTGAATTAACTGACAATATATTACTGACACTTCTATTACCTTCTAATGGTCTATTTTGTAAGGACTTCTAAAGCAAGTTTTGTTAATAACAGGTGCTTGAAAGTATTTCGAGATAGATTCGACCTGGATCTGTTAGAACAGGTCCAGAAGAGGGCCACGAGGATGATTCGAGGGCTGGAACACCTCTCCTATGAAGACAGGCTGAAAGAGTTGGGGCTGTTCAGCCTGGAGAAGAGAAGGCTTAGGGGAGATCTTATAGCGGCCTTCCAATACCTGAAGGGGGCCTATAAGAAAGCTGGGGAGGGACTTTTCGTTAGGACAGTTAATGACAGAACTAGGGGGAATGGCTTTAAACTGAAAGAGGGTAGGTTTAGATTAGATATTAGGAAGAAGTTCTTTAGTGTGAGGGTGGTGAGACACTGGAACAGGTTGCCCAAAGAGGTTGTAGATGCCCCCTCCCTGGAAGTGTTTAAGACCAGGGTGGATGAGGCTTTGAGTAACCTGATCTAGTGTAAGGTGTCCCTGCTCATGGCAGGGGGGTTGGAACTAGATGATCTTTAAGGTCCCTTCCAACCTAAACCATTCTATGATTCTATGATTCTATGATAGTAATTTGTAAATGTCAGAAAGTAACTGTTTCTTATTTTGCAGGGTTGGCTAGTAGATCTTATCAACAAGTTTGGCACATTAAATGGATTTCAGATATTGCATGATCGCTTCATGAGTGGATCAGCATTGAATGTTCAGATAATTGCAGCTCTCATCAAGTAAGTTATTTGAAAATAATAATTTATGTATTTCAAAAAGTTGAACTAAAATATTATGTTAGTGCAAAGCTTAGTCTTTTCTTGAGGCACTTCCTCTCACACCATCTCTTAACTAGTTGTGTTTACCTTCAGCATTTCATGTGCTTGTAAATAGACGTGAGTTTCTTGAATGAATTGCTCCTTACTGTCTTAATGTTACACAGCTACCAATTATTGCACTTTAATCCCCTTTTTCTTTCTTTTTAGGCCATTTGGACAATGTTACGAATTTCTAACATTACATACAGTGAAGAAATACTTCCTTCCAATTATAGAAATGGTTCCACAATTTTTAGAAAATTTAACAGATGATGAACTGAAAAAAGAAGCAAAGAATGAAGCCAAAAATGATGCTCTGTCAATGATAATCAAATCTCTAAAGAACTTAGCTTCAAGAGTTCCAGGACAAGAAGAAACTGTAAAAAACTTAGAAATATTTAGGTTAAAAATGATTCTTAGGTAAGATGCTACTCCTAATATGATACGCTACTTCTGACTTTTTTTTTTTCCTCACTTCTTACATTTAATTTCTTTCACAGGTTGTTACAAATTTCTTCTTTCAATGGTAAGATGAATGCACTAAATGAAGTTAACAAAGTAATATCCAGTGTCTCATATTATACTCATCGACATGGTAATCCTGAAGAGGAAGAATGGCTTACAGCTGAAAGAATGGCAGTAAGTTGCCCTCTTCACTGAAATTCATTTTATAGATTCTTTTTTCTTCCTCCTTATTACTTTAATTGTAGAAGTAGCTATTATTATGGAACCTGCACACACTGCTAATTTTCATATCTAGTTTTATAAGCAGTAGGTATCTTGTCATGATAGTAAGTAATTTTAATAGTTATCTTTCTGTGAAAGATTGCTGTTGAGAATTATTTTCAGTGCTGTTAAAATATGCTTTAAAAAGGTATTCTTGAATAGTATGGTTTTTATACTGTTTTAAAAAAGCCGACCTAGATAAAACAGATGTTTTAACAGTGAAACTTCAGTGCCACTGTACCTAAAAATTGAATGTTCATTGAAATAAGGATCTAGTCTGTTTTTTGTGCTTCAAGTAATTTTTTCTCATTACAGTTCGAAGTGACTGCTCTGCTTTTCAAATTTCAGAAGTTGGATTCTTTGATACATTTAAATTTTATTTATTTATTTAATATTTGCCTACTTTGACTACTTTTTCATGCTTGAGTGCACCTGTGGGGAGCTATTAAAATGAGCATTTATAAAGTTAAAGTAAGGGCAGTTTTTTCTTCACCTTTGTGAAACTTGTTGAGTGATTTTTGCACTGATCTGCCTTGTCTTTGTGAATGGCTACCTGTTGTGAGGTTTATAATCTGCAAATGGACTGTTGACAAAAAAAGAATGATTGTAGTTTGACTTTTTAAAGCAATAGGAGAAAATAGGTCTCTCTACATACTATGTGTAGTTTGGCATCTCAGACAAGATGTCTGTTTTTAAATGAAAATTTCTAGATTTAAGTATCTCACGAGACTAGCTTGAATATTGCAAGTCTGGTCGAGGACACTGCTGGAAGTTACGATGCTGTGAACATTTGTTTTCTTTTTTTAGTGCTCAAAGCACACACTGCTTTGCTTCAGTCGGACCCTAATCTGATTGTGTCAATAACACCACTGAAAAAAATTGCCTCTACTTAAGTACGGCTTGAATATTTGCCTCTAAGTCTATTAGAAGCATTTAAAAAGAACCTATAAGTGGCAGTACTTAAATAATCTTACCTTTTTATATTTCAGTCCTTGCTTATGCTCTTTTTACGTGGTATGCTGTAAGCATACCAGTAAAGCTGGAAGTCTCTTAAAGAATTTGGTTTTGATATTTAATTATTGTAAATGGGAAGAGAAAAATTTTGTTCCTTGACTAGAAGAGTTAACTGTTCTTCCCATTGGATTTTTTATGTTTGAAGTTGTTTGAACATTTTTATGCTTTGAGTTAATGATTTTAATGTGCCTGAAAAATATTTCCCCTTAAGTTATCACAGTGACTAGTGTACTGGTTTATTTAAAATGCTGATTTTTTTTTTTTTAAGACAAAATTGAAGTTAGCAATAAATACCTCCCTCTTATGCTGCATCTTTCTCATTCTTATGTATAATTAGAATATTGTATATAGAGTCATTAATCCATAAGAGGTTGAATTTTTTCTTTTTAGCTTAAATATCAGTGACAGCACTTCAGTAATTTGAGATGCACTACTTTTTTTATATTCAGGAATGGATCCAGCAGAATAATATTTTATCAATTGTGTTGAGAGATAGTCTTCATCAACCTCAATATGTAGAGAAGCTAGAGAAAATTCTTCGTTTTGTCATCAAAGAGAAAGCCCTCACTTTGCAGGATCTTGACAACATTTGGGCTGCACAGGTAAGGAATTCAACTGTTCGCTACTGCGCAGAAGGGATCTTGCTGTATGTCACGTATTGAGAAGACGATGAAGACTTGTGCTTCTTATGCTTGGTGTTAGACAAAACTAGAGGAAAATTTGCGATCAAATGGTGTTATCTTTTGGGGTCCTGGAGCTCAAAATTGTCTTCTCAGATGTCATCAGTAGAAGAGGTCAGCTACACATGTATGTAACGTCTAAAGGAACAGTTCAGAGCATAGTGCAAAGATTATACTTTTTAAGTATTAAGGAACCCTCAACGTTGAGCCAAGTCCAGATTATGAAAGAACATGATACATTGTGACTTAGTATTTCAGAATGCATTAAAAATACGTATTGCTAATCTCCGAGTTAACCACAGTTGTATAAACTTTTCCTAGGCGATTGCTATTAATGAAGCTTATAATAATGACTGTTCTAGAAGTTGTTCAGCAGCAAATTCTTTCCTTTATGTTGTAATGATTATTTTTGAAAAATTATAAATTTTGCAATATTGGCTTGTTTACTTAAACGACTGGTGAAGCTGGGCTTCCTAGCTGTGGGCTACATGAGTTTAGTGCACATAAAGGGCAACTGAAGTGACAAAATCATTATAAATTATTGAGTAGACAGAAAATAAAAGGTCGTTTTAGGATAGAAACAAGCATGAATACATATATCCTTCTTCATAAGTAATTAGTAGTGAAACTCTAACTTAATTGTACAAGAAAGCCCTTAGGCCAGTCTTTCAAGTGTGGGAAGGCTAAATCGAATTTCAGAGATAGAGGGCTGTGCTGGTTTTGGCAGGGATAGAGTTAGTAGCTTATATGGGACTATATAGATAAGGCAAAAGATTTACCTGTTAAACTCTAACCTCAGCCCATGAGTTTTCTCTTACTCTTCTGATTCTCTTTCCATCCCACTCTGGGGTGGAGAAGGAGTGAGTGGCTGTGTGGTGCTTAGTTGGTGGGATTATACCACGACAAGAGCTAATACAGGAATTGGGTAGTGTTGTATCTCTAGTTTACATGTGTTTGCACTGTTCTGAAACTGTAACAGTTTGGCATAAGTGGATTTATGGAGGTGTCCCTAATTTCAGGCATGCTATTTTCAGTTCACATTTACAGCACTTGGGACTAGAGGTGATATAGGGGAGGGTTGACTTGAGATCTCTGGTGTTTCAACTAACAATAATAATAATCTCTAGACTTCAGTTCCAGCATGATAGTAACTGCACAAACTGAAACTCAAGAAAGTCTTTATTTTCTCATTTTCCCTAAGTCCTATTTAGAAAATTACATCATGTAACAGAGAAGTACATAGATTACTTGAATTAGGATCTGTGATCATATTGTTAGCTTCCAGCTTGTGGTCTGTAGACCTTTCCAGACTATCTTTGTAAGAAGTCTGTATTTTGGGAAAAATGGACTTTTAGTCCATAGTTTGCTGTTGTAGGTTTGTATTAGCTATATTAGAGCCTCAGCTTTCATAAGGGGGAAAAAACCCCCAAACCAACCAACCAACCAAACCCCTGAAATGTGGAAAAAAGTCTTCCAAGCAACTGTATTGCTCATAGTGCCTGGAAATGGGACATGTGGATAAGCTAGTTTAAGTCAAACTTTTTACCTTTCCAGAAAAGTGTATAAACAAGTGGTGCAACCCTTAAAAGACAGAGATAGTCCATCCCAACAACTGCAAAAAAACCCCATAGGACTAAATCTCCCATGTTGTCAAATACGTGGTTTACTCTGCTCACTTCTCAGGCGTTCAGTTAGGTAGTTGCCACAGTGCACTTGCTCTGGTTTTGGCCTCTACTTCTGTGTGAAAGTTGAATTCAGTCTTACTCAGGTAGATGGTTTCACTGTGGCTTTGGCCATGGAATTAAAATAGACTAAAAGGTAAGAATATCAAAATCTGCTAATACAGAATGATTTTTACCGACTTCACTACTCCCTGTGTTTATTAGTTTTTAGAAGTTCTTGTTAAATGACTACTAAGAGCAGCTGGAGCATGAAATTCAGTAGCGAGGAGTTGATTTACTGTGTAGCTTTATATAACAGGCAGGCTATTTTAGGTCTGTCTCAGTGCAGCAACGGTGTGGTTTTGCTTTCAGGCCAGAGCTGTTATGTTGCTGCCTGGGTTTAGAGGGTGAGCATGCACAAATTTACAGTTGACGGTATAGAAGTGCCCTAAGTATCTCAGTACACGACTAGAACAAAAATAAGTAGTTTATGAGAAGTGATAAAGTCATGCTGCTTTTGCCTTTAGAAGACAACATAAGTTTTAAGTGTTTTCATGTTTTACAAAGTGAGTGCTCACAAAATAGAAGTATATTTGATTCAGGGAATAATGTTGGAAGTCTCTAAAGGCAAAAGCATTAAGTTGCAGCCTGTTGAGTTGCAGGGAAGGATCCAGCTGGACAAGAAATAAAATTGCAGAGGTTAGTGTTGGTGTCTCATTACTTAGGTTCTGGAGCATTTAACTAGACCTTTATATGCACTTCCCTGTTTCTGCACAGCAAGGTGGTAGTTCGCACACCAGGTTCCTTATTTACCTCTTCCTACTGTCTTGTATTGCTTCTCCAGCCTTTTCTGTTTTTAAGAGCTTCCTCATGTCTGTTAAAACCCTCCCAAGAAAAGATGGTTAAATGCCTTATTCTTACTCTTCTTCCCCTGCCCCCTCAAGCAGCTGTACATACCTCTCCTTTTATTTGTTATATTGTAGATAATCTTTCTGCTCTGTATGCTCTCAGTTTTTCTTTCAATCCAGGAAATAGTCTGGTAAGAGAGAAAAATTATATGATGCTTTGCAAAATCAAGTGGAATGAGTTGTTTAGTGATTCCCTCTCTCATAATCTGTCCCATAGCATGAAAATGAATGTTACTACTTTTTTTTTTATTTATTTATTAAGAAAAACTTATGGCACACTATAAAGAATTTATGGCACAGCATGTAACAAAGCTGTGAGTCTGTTTTTTTATTTTTAAGTGCACTACTGGTGGAGCTTCTAGAAGGAAATTAATTTCAAAACTCCTCATGCATGCATTTTTAATACTGTAAAAGATTAGTTACATCAGAGTTTGTTTTTCAGGTATTTGGTTTGCATTTTTTACTCCACAGTTACAGGAAACGTTTCTACGGTAAATCAGCTATTGATTGACTTAGTCCAAAATTGTTCTTTTCCAGTGCAGATTTGTAGGAAGGAAATTTTCTTCTTGCCCAGACTCAAAATTGAGCTAGCTGTTTTTTCCATACTGTCTTCCTTAAATGTCAGAATTGTGATATACACCAAACTCTCATTTAAAACTGTGTCTAGTATATAACTCAGCATCTTGCCATTAGTTGTTTGATTGTTAGACTTTGTAAGTTTATAAGCTGCTAGACTTCAAGACATTGTCTGCCAACAGGTTGTTTGTAATAGAAAGATTTGGTTGTTCATGAATCTGCTAGCACAAAGGAAGTACTTCAGCCTGAGAAACTATGTGTAAATAACTAAAAATGGTTTTACAGCTTAAAACACGCTCAGTGAAATTCATTGAGGAAGTGGATTTTGAGTCCTTTCTTTAAAAAAAAACACCAAAAAAACAAACACTAAATTTACGTTAAATTAAAATATTGATTTGTAAGTTAAAATACCCTTTTAGACCTTATTGTCTACTATCCCAGCATGATTTTGTTAAAAAAGTAAATATTGTGACACTGCAGCATTTGTATTCTAAATAAATACTTGTGTGCACACAAACAGAGCACATGTAAAAAGCATACAAGGGAAATCTGAATGTTGTGTCAGTGAAGGAAGTATGTGGTTTGCCGTGCTGCTCCCACAGCACCAGCTTTTCTTTCTAGTCACCTCAAATAGTCTTCTTGTAAAAATGATGTAGGATGTCTTGCTGCTTGACTTAATATGGATTGCTACAAATGTTGATGGATTCTTTTTGTCTTCTTGACAGGCAGGAAAGCATGAAGCCATTGTAAAAAACGTACATGATCTCCTTGCAAAATTAGCTTGGGATTTCTCTCCTGAACAGCTTGATCACCTTTTTGATTGTTTTAAGGTAACTGTATATTTTGACTGTATTCAGGAAATGGATTGTGAAGTTGGATACAGATTTGTGACTCTTTTAAAGTCTACTTTCTCTTTATTTTAGATATGGGCAGTTCCCTTGTGTTGAAAGACTTCTCAATGTGTAGCAACAGTCTGTAATATTTAATATTAGAAATGCTAGATTGTGCTATTTTTTAATGAGCATTTATTGTGAGATTTTCAATTTACTTCCTATCTAAAGCAAAGGCTAGTTATGCTAGTTTAATTGATAGTTTTATTTCTGATTTAAATGCTTTTGGGTAATACACATCTTTTAAGGCCTACAGTATTAAAGGGACATTTAGCAATCCTAGGAATACTGATTTTTTCAAATAAAATAAGTTACTTATCTTAAATACCTTTTTTCATTTGTTCCAGATTATTAAGTGTTGGTGATCTAGTAAACAGTGTTTTTTCTCTTAGCATTACCAAGTTTACTGCACATTGCTACTTTGAATCTTTAAGTAGAGGCGATCAAGGACTTCTGTTCCCCACTCTTAGAACTTCCTCTTTACCTTGTAATATTTTTTCCTCTGGTTAACGAACATAGAGAATGAAACAGTCTCAGGATGATAATGTTGAATGTTTATAAACGTACAATGATTTGATTGAAATCACAAAACAACTTGCTTCTGAAAGTCTATTATGCACTGGCTTTTTCTGGATGCTGCATTAACATTGGTAGCTTCCAGTAGTGGTGCTGTCTGGCTCGTTTTACTGTTTCACTTTTAGGAGATGATCTGCTGTACTATAAGGTGAAAATCAACTTTGTAGACTGTTTTGTGGTTTTAGATAAATGCATTATAGTCACATTTTACATGCAATTTGTGCTCCTCTTAATGAGGGACCTCTAGTTTGGTGAATATGCATCTGATACTCTGTAATCTAGATACTGAACTAAATGCTCAGAAATTCTGTGTGTAAACTGTCACAAGATGTGTCTGACCTTGCGAGGTGGATATGAAGTTGTGTTATATTGGAAACTTACTCAGAAAAAGGTTAACTTAATGCAGAGGACATTTGTTTCAGTCAGATTCAGAGGCACAAGAGATATTAAAATTTTACTCATTTAGTTGTCGTAAGCTATTTAAGAAGTCTTTTAAGTATAAGCACAGGAGTTTTGAGAAAACATTTGCAACAAACAGCAGAGTCCTCTCTGTTTTGACTGTTGGTGGACTTGTCGATGGGTAATGTTAACTTTACAAGCCCATCTGTGATCTTTAAATAAAGATTTTTTTTTTTTTTGTAAGTCTCAAGTTGAATACACTTTAGTTGTAAACACTAGAAGAACTATTCACTTGTGTCTGACTTACGTATTGATCCAATGCGCTATTTATTTTTAATGGAAGTAATTAATATGAAAGTTCTTTATATAGTTGCATCACTTTATTGTTGCATCGTTTGTTAATTGTGCCGGTTACATGTGGAATTAAAAAGAAGACTGGTTTTCATATCAAATAAAATATTTTCTTAGGCAAGTTGGACAAATGCAAGCAAGAAACAGCGTGAGAAACTACTTGAGTTAATTCGTCGTCTTGCAGAAGATGACAAGGATGGTGTGATGGCACACAAAGTACTGAACCTTTTGTGGAATTTGGCTCATAGTGATGATGTACCAGTTGATATCATGGACCAGGCTCTTAGTGCCCATATTAAAATCTTAGATTACAGTTGTTCACAGGTGAGTAATCTGGTATGTTCTCTTGTGAAATCAGTCACAGGCAGTTTCCTTTCGCACGCCATGAAAAATTCAAAGGATTTGGTTATTTAACAAAAATGTTCCTTATCATAGATTTGTATTATTCTACCAACATCCAATGTTATGGGACGTATTTTAAATAACACAGTTCCTGGTTTGCCTGTCTTGTTCCAATTGGCAATGTACTGTAATCACCACATTGGAGGAATTGGAAAAGAACACTACCAAAGTAAATAGGGAGAAAGGAAAAGCTGTCCACTTCCTGTCTTTGCTTTTTTCCAAACTCAACTGCTAATTTGTTTGGGTGGGGATTTTTCTTTTCAGTAAGTCCTATCTATCAATACCTGAAGTGCAGGGGCGAAATGAATGGGGCTGGGCTCTTTTTGGTGGTGGCTGGTGACAGGACAAGGGACAATGGGCAAAAAACTGGAACGCCGGAAGTTCCACACAAACTTAAGGAAAAATTTCTTTACTGTGAGGGTGACAGAGCACTGGAACAGGCTGCCCAGAGAGGTTGTGGAGTCTCCATCTATGGAGATGTTCAAAACCCGCCTGGACGCTTTCCTGTGCAACTTCCTTTCCTCCTCCCTGCTGTAGGGAACCTGCTTTGGCAGGGGGGTTGGACTAGACGATCTCCTGAGGTCCCTTCCAACCCCTGACATTCTGTGTTTCTGTGACCTAGCAAAGGACAGTGAAAACTGCGCACTCTCCTTCTCCACCCAAACTTCTGCAGAAGTCTGCCAGAATAATAATTCATTGTGGTTAGAAATTAATCCATTATCTGTCTTGCTGGCAGGTTTTGTTTCTTAGTTGTTAAGAAGTAGTTTCTCATTGCTTCTTGGTATTTTATAGCAGTTTACTCTGAGTAGCAGTGAATAGAAATAAGTGAAAGAAGGGAAAGATTTTAAAGAGCAAATTATTTAAACACTGATGATCCTATCTAGCTACAGGTTTTCTTAAATATGTACTGAGTGCTTGAGTGCTTCAAGGCAGAGAGCTTGTAACACACTGATTAGCTTCTGACAACATGTAATGCTGCTCAGATACTTTTCTTCTGCTTGTATGCTCCAGAACTCAGTTGATCTAGTATTTGTGTGGCTTTGTATGTTCTATTCTATATTGGAAACTAAAGTAAGGGAATGATGGTAGTTTCTGCAGTACACTTGGTTTTGATTATAAACTCTTGTTCTTTAAGGATCGAGATACACAAAAGATCCAGTGGATAGATCGTTTTATAGAAGAGCTTCGCACAAATGACAAATGGGTCATTCCTGCACTGAAACAAATTAGAGAAATTTGCAGTTTGTTTGGTGAAGCACCACAAAACTTGAGGTAAGAATGGAATGCAAATAAAATTTTGTCTGTTAAAAGTTGAATGGGTTGGAATGAGGCTAATTTTTTATTTATTTTTTTTACCAGAGGCACGGAATGCTTAGGTGGAATCATAACTTATGTTTGAAGATGTTCTTGCATTTGTTTTAATATGTATAAATAGGCTCTAAAATTCAGGTACCTATGCTCAGTAAGAGAGCGTTAACTGTTTCCTCAGGTGTGCTTTTATTAATTTTTAGAATAATAGTCTGATCTGTGGAAAACTTGGATTTGTTTTTCTGTTATCCATGGACTTCTTGCCTAACAATAGAATTAGCTTACAATGTATAAATACATTTTATGTGCATATATGTGTATATGCACACACATACACACCTATCCCTAATCTTTCATGATAACATTTATACAGGTCATCTAGTTTATGTACTTGCAATCAGAGGTGACCTTTTTTTTTTTCTGGGTAAAATACTGATTCTCTCTCTTGAATGGAAGAGATCAGAAATGTGTTGCATTTCTTTTACTGGATTTTTTGTTTTGTTTTGTGGGGGTTTTTTGGTTTGTTTGTTTTTTTTTAAGGAAGAAAAAAATAAAAGCCATTGACTGTTTGGACTTGTTAAAATATATGTTCTTGTTCTCGTTATTTTAAATGTCTTCCCACTACAGAAGTATCTGAGATTCTGTGCACTTAGCTGTTTTTGTATCCACATCAGAATTTTTAGAAACTCCAGAAAAATGTTATTTGCTTATCAGTGTTACATAATTGCTTTGTTTTAATTCTTGTAGGCAGGTAAACTATTCAAATCAGTGTTGCTATTATAGTCTGCTTACAAGAAGGATCAAGGCAGGGAAAGTTGAAGAAAATAAGCCTTCAGTTTACACAACGCTGTTGTCTCATTGATACCATTTAAGGAGCTGTGATAATATTGCATTCCTGGCTTTTGAAGGTTTCTTTATTCATTTTGTTTGCAACATCTTCCTGAATTTTCATAACATTTTAATCCTTTACAGTTTCACATTCATGATTCTTTGAGGTTTTTCCAACAAGGTCACAAGTTACCTGCTTTTACTACCAGATAAGTCTGTGTTCTGTGTCTTGGAGTCCTTAACCTTTTACATGCTGTGAGATCTAGGGGAATGTAGCTACCTGGTTATTCATGTTACTTGTTAAAGTTAAATGCCTTAACAAAGAGGATATGCTTTAAGTTATTTTTGAAGCAGAGCTCATTCAAGGCACTCATTAGGTTTCTGCTCTGAATTAATCTTCAGAGGAACCTAGCCTCTTTTGTTTAAATTTAGGTTCCCTGTATATGTACAGTTAGATGTCTTGAATATTTCGCCTTTTTTATCAGATCATCTCTTCCATTCTGCAGATTTCAGGGAAATCTGCATTGCAGTATGTAATAGTACCTAATTTTTCTACAGAATTTGGAAACATATATGGCAGGAAAGTAAACTTTGAATTAAAGGTTTTAATCAAGGGACTTACAAAGGCCTCTTCCTGTGGAGAAGCCTTTGTTATCAATGTACTGGAGAGGGAGTTCTTGTAGTCCGGTAGTGTTGCTTCTCAGGTGACTGGGAGACCTAGTGAGTGAAAACATCATTTTGAAGTAGTGACTTTCCAGTTCCTCTGATTTTTTTGATAACTTAACATTGATACAGTGTGGAAATTGTAATGCGTGCATCTGATACCTGTTCCTATCAGTTTACCTTATCGGACTTAAAACTTTAATCTCTAAAATCCTTTGGATTGAAAGTAAATTTGGATTTTGGATTGAAAATAAATCGGAGCAGATGTTTGTGACAAGTGCCTCAAACATTTCACAGAGCTTTCTGTGTACAACATTAATCTCATCATCTATATACTGCTTTTTTAGGGTAGTTCAGTTGATTGGCACTGGCAAATAAAAGTTTGGTCCAGAACAACTGAGGCTGCTGATTCTTGGCAAAAATAAGTATAAATTACCTTATGCCATTGGCACTGTAAAAATTTTTTTGCGGAGGAGGATTTTAATTGTTGCTCGTTATTCATGCAGTTGAGCAAAGTGACAAATCGGTTATACAATTGCTTTGGCAAAATTTAACTCACTGACCAGAAAGAAATGCTACATGTTTGGGGAAGTTCAGCTTAACCAGATTTGCAAGAGCCTAAGAAAAGAATTCTTATTTAGTTGCAAGGATACTTAGTAATATTAAGGAATAGTCACCTTTATTACTCAACATACTAACCTTTAACATACAGATAACTAATCACCTTAATTTTCTTTGTGTTGGCTGATGGAGATAGAGCCTCCTGTAGACCAATTTCAGGCACTTAAGTTTAACTTGTATGTACTCAAGCATTAGAAGATTGGTGTCCTGAATACTTGCCCAGAAGAATTAAATGAGTATTGAGAGGACCTTCTCTAAGAGTTTAGGGCTTTTATTAGTGCTTCAATGCAACACTGATGCTAACTGCAAGTCACTTTAGCCTCAGTAGTAGAATGTGCTGGATTTGGCCACTGCTATGTGGACCTTTAATGTCTGCTTTTACTGGTGCATAGCATTTGTTCATGTAGTAGAACAACTCTCAACTTCAAAAGCTGAGTTACAGTGCAGTATTATGTTGGGGAAGTTACATGTGCTGATAAATAATAATAAAAAAAAAAAAAAAGTTGTTTAGAATTTTGCCTTTGTCACTTTTGCAATATTTTTTCTAGCAAATAAGCATACATTCTAACTATTAAATGTCCTCTTTAGTATTTCCAGAGTACTTTAGCATCCATTTCAAAATGCTGATTTTTCTTCTTATACATTGACTTTTGATATCCATTTAGTAGAAACAGAATGGAAAGATGAGTTTTACTGTTAACTTCAATTTTTCACTTTTCTCAGCCTGAGTGTTATTAAAGGAATATGTCCCAATGGCAACATCTTCATATATCCTAACCTCAGATGCTTAAGCAATAATTCTATAGTTGCACGTGGAGTTTGCTTCAATTGTAGAAAGCATGTTAGAGGGTCATGTCAGATGAGCTTTTTTCTGTGCCTAAGGGCAATAATAATCTTGCCTTTGACTCCATCCTAGCAGATGATCAAAGTAACGTTTTGCATCTTGCTCACAAGTGCTACGTAACAACTCACAACTCAGAGCTCATAAGTCTGGTTTGTACAATTATTGAGCTTTTAGAAGTAGTTGCTTACCAAGATGAATCCATGTGTCCAAATTTACTGTTTCTGCACGTTGTTAAGAAGAAAAGTAAAAATGTCTAGTGCAGAAGATTTTTTTAGTCTTCTGTCAATACAACTTTCTTTTTGCTGTACTTTGTAAGATGGATGCAAATGCATAATATCATAAGTATATAAATATACACTCCAATAGCTTGATTCTGCAAAATATGCCGTCTTGCTTCTGATTGTTCCTGTAGTTGTTTCATCATATGTATTTTCCAAATAGTCATTGTTCTTATTTACTGTTATCCTTTGTAAATGCATCTCTATCTAGAGGTAACATCTCGGGTCGCCACTAAAATAGAGACATTTAGTCTTTGGCTGTTTTTTGCTGCTGGTTTATGCTGAGCAAGGAGGGTTGGCTGAGATGGAGTGAAGTGTAACTGGAAAGTTTCTCAAAGTGAAAACGGAGGATATTCTTTCTGGCTATATTAAGTCCTGTACATTTTCTTCCTTCACGCTTCCATCTGTTTTGTTTTCCCTCTGACAAAAGTCTGGGGGGTTTAAGTCTTGTAGGTCATGTAGTATGGAGACCCTGTTTCCTATGAAGGAACAGGGTCTCCATGCTGTATAGATAAATATATATGAGGAAATTTTATTTCTTTTATAAATATGTAAATAAATAAATTTTATTTCTGTATAAATAAAATAAAATGAGGAACACCTCTCTTCCCTCACCACTTTTTTTTTTCCTCTTTACCACGGAAGAGCAGTGGAAGTTTGCATTTTTATGCTGCCAAGATCAGTGCTCTTATCTACAGTTAAGGCATTTTGAGACTATTCTGCAGAGGTGATGAGTTCCTAAGTTCTAGAATTTGATAGAGTTCATGGCATGTGGATTGTGGACCCAAGCTCCGTATTTTCAGTTGCAGTTTGCTTTTGTAATCTAAATATGTCTAGTATTGTTTACGAGCAGCATTCTTGGTCAGACCTTGATAACATTGATAAGTTTTTTCTTAATACTATGTACTCTGCATAACTCTCCTTTTTTATATTTGTACCAACATTTTTTCAGATCAGTATTGTTGGAAAAACCAAACAGTGTCCAGTTGTGCAGTTTTTTTGAAGTGTTGAGAGTTGACATGATTATTGGCTAGTGTTCTTTCACTATAGTTTTAAGACCATTAGCTTTCATTTTGAAAGTTGACCTAGTTTTAGTGTTTTAATATTAAATTTGGAAAAGAATATCAGATGGATGTGGAAGAAACTGTGGTTATTCTTATTGTAGTTATACTACAGTTGAGGGTCTCTGTCTTTACTATGCAGTTGTGGGCAGGTATGTATTTCTATTCCTGTCTTGTTGCAGATATTCTCCCTCCAGCATATTGAGCTGCTCGGAGTGCTTTGATATTTTTCATACATACTGTAACTGTATAATCCTCATTAATTAACTGCTTTTAATAACTGGTAAGAACTGTTGATGTGTCAGAAGAAAAAAGAAGAATATTGTCAGAGACTTAATGTGCTTTCTGTTAGAGATCATTTAGGAAAATTTGGAACTTGCATCAAAGATGAGTTTCTTAAATTGGTTTCTAAGCTGTTAGGTGCAAGACTTCTCTGCTTTTCCTATAATATTTTTATTTTGATTTCAGTCAAACTCAGCGAAGTCCCCATGTGTTTTACCGACATGACTTAATCAATCAACTTCAGCACAATCATGCCCTAGTTACATTGGTTGCAGAAAATCTCTCTGCCTATATGGAAGGCATGAGACAGTATGCTAAAGGTAAGTTTTAAAATAAAAATTACCTCATAAATAGAATGTATGAAAACTCCAGCTAAAAATGGAGTTAAAAGCAAATTCTCATAATGAAATATCTGTTAAGTTTGTTTAAATTTTTAACATCTGTGGGGTTGATAGGCTTTATGGTGTCTGATTGGGCAAGAAAAGCTTAAAACATAAACATTTTTTTCATTATTGAAAATATGGTGTGTTTTACAACAGAATGGGGGAAGTGGCAGCTCTCGTTTATCTGTGGATTGATAAACATAACTTTGCCCCTACTTAACTTAGGGTGGTTATTTTTGTGAAAAGTCCTAATAATCTTGGATTTTGTCCCACTTCTAATTTTGAATTTTTGTAGGCTCCTTTGAGAAGTTTTAAAATCACCTCTGTTTAATCACAGCATCGTAGAATCATTAGGGTTGGAAGAGACCTCTGAGATCAAGTCCAACTGTCAACCCAACACTGCCATGCATATCCAATCTAAACCTCCTCTGGCACAATTTGAGGCCATTTTCTCTCGTCCTATCACTAGTTACTTGAGAGAAGAGACCAACACCCACCTCGCTACCACCTCCTTTCAGGTAGTTGTAGAGAGCAATGAGGTCTCCCCTCACCCTCCTTTTCTCCAGAAATTTGGAGAAATTTGGAATTTGTCAGGGAGAAGGACTTTAAACCAGTGGATGCTGTTTATTTTTACCATACAGCACCGATCCTGTTTTGCTTTGTTACTGTGTTTGTTATCAGCAACACTTTGGCAGCACATCACGTTAGTATTTATCTATTTTGGGCTAAACTCAGCCCTTCACTGATGACTTTACACTCTTCTTATGGATTAGCTTTCTAGCTACTGAGGTGGAAGTAGGGAAGTGAAGGAGAATGATGGACCAGGAAGCTTGTTGTTACACTGGACCACTGTACTTTATGTATAGAACTAAGCCAACAGAAGTGAGAGGAGGAGTTTAACACCCTGCCTCCCCCATCTGCTTTACTGACTGGTACTCGGAAGGACCATTCTACCCTGGCATCATAACATCCTACCCACCTTTCAGTTATATCTCAAAAGTGAGACAGTATGTTACGAAGGAGTTCAGTGTAGACTGTTCGGAGAGGACAGGGTATTTGCACGTTGTAAAGCATATGTGTCTGTCTTTCAGGGCTTGGGTAAGTTGTCTAGACATCTTTAATTTTGGAATTCATTGAATTTTGGAGTACTTGATAAAAGATATCCAAAATCGGTCCTCGAAGAGTTTTTTGAATAGTGGTGCTATATGAAGATGATAGCTTCAGCCAGGTATAGGTCAATGAGAACGACATTTAAGCTAAATCTGCATACTGCAGCTATGTTTCTCTATTCAGGAATACATGAGGGGAGTTACTCTAAGTTCCTTAATTAATGATAGCATTGTGCAAATTAATGTTAAAATAATACTAAATTCTTTGTCCTGTTCTGAAGCTGTACTATCTTAAGCTTAGTCTTCTCCAGGAAGGTGGAATAGAGCAAGTATTATTTCATATAAATTCTGTAAGCTGTTGGTCTGCTCTTTAACTTTGCTGTAGTGATGCAAAAATGCAATTTCGTTTATTATAAACTTTGTATCTTAACTATATGGATAGCTTAGAATCTATGATTCTCTCTTTCTCTTGGACTTTGGCCAATGATGAAATCTGGGGTGAAACAAAATCAACAACTGTATTCTAATGCAATGTTGTCTTTGTCCAAAAATAGATATATTGATGCATAACTATTAATGTATGAACTATTACTTGTGAATTTCTGTTATTTTAGAACTCTGAAGCCAAAAGGTCATTTTTAACAATATTGTTAACTTACCAAATTGTTGATGACTTTGGTAGAAAGATTAGGCTGATCTCTTGCACGATTTTTTTATTGTGCCAAAACCCACCTCCCATTGCCCTGCCCCTCCCCCGCTATAATGACTTAGTAAAGCAGTAATATAAATATGTTCAGCACAATAGGAATTACAAGTGTGCAAAGATTTTAAGGTTAATTATACAACAATTAAATTGTGCGTTCTTGAGAGGAAGCTTCTGCAGAACCTTTCGTTTGCATCAGAGTACAAAAACAGATAAACAATAGTGTGGATTTTTTTTATTAGATGCTTTATTACATGATTAGGGGCAGCCAGAAAGTATCTCCTAATGTTCCAGATACGGTACTAAGTACACAGTTCCTGTGCAACTTATCTTTCAATTTCAGTTTTATATACTAAATAGAACAGAACAGAGAGCACTGTGAAGTTTGCCTTCCGTACCTTCCTGGAGAAGGAGTAAAGATGCTGGGGGTGAGGTGGGAGAAGACAGAGAAGGGAATAAATGGAAAGAGAAGAAAGAAAATTATGATTGTGAGGAAAGAAGGAAAAAACCCGACAGGTGTAGAATTAAGCTTAACTGGAGAAGGTGACTGAGGCAGAGGGAGAAAATCCAAGGCAAACATCCGAACAGCGCAAGTCAAACAAAAAAATTTCAACTACCCACAGATATTTTTGTCAGTTAATGCCACAATAATTGGGGTGGGTGTTTGTGGGGTTTTTGTTGTTGTTGTGGTGTTGGTGAGGGTTGTTTTTTTGTTTTTTGTTTTTTAATTTGTAATATTTTTATTTTCCTTGAAGGCTTCCATAGTTGCATTCTGTGATGGAGAACAGTGTTCCTATTCTCGTTATTCACTCATGCATATTGTTTTCTATCATACTCCCTTTTATATGTTTGCCTTTTTAAGGTTAAAGAAAAGCCTAACCTATGTTACAGAATTTTTTCCACGATCTATGGCTTTCTTTTTTACTGAACTCATCCTTTCCTCCAACTCTGCAAAGCCCTCTGTGAGATGAGACAACTGCTGTTACATTGTGTAGTACCGAAGAAGGAGGTCACAGTTTCATCTTTTTGACTATTTATCAAACTCCTTTTGAAAATTTTAAAAGATTGTTAGCCAGTTCTCATTTATCTTCTATTCTGAAGTAATAAAAAAATCCAAAGTGTTAATGAAATGTAATTATTTGTAGAAGTTGTGGCATATGATCTGCTCTGTGTGTTTACCACTAATTAAATTTTCAACCAGTCATTTTTTGATCTATAATTTCCCTGTTCATTCTTCTGCTCCTGTACGTAGAAAGAATTTTTAAGGTGATTGCACTTGGACTTCCTGTGAGATGCACAGTGCAGAAAATAAATCAGGCAAACATAGAAAGAAGCTGAGATGGAGAATATTTAGCGATACTGAGGTTTTTTTGTAGTGCAGAGTTGTTCAGAACTCTTAAGTACATACATACTGCCTTTGGGCAACTGACTGGCCTTCAATACTTGAACTCTTCTGTCATTGCCACTGTTGACACTTGTGTCTGTGAATTAATCTCTATTCAGGAAAAAAAAGCCCAGATAGTCCCCATAGTTAAAATGAATGAACAGAACCACGTTCCCCCAACACAAAATCAAACAAAAACCCACCCAAAACACCTAACACCTGAAGTAATTAATTTCTATGCAATGTACTTACCTACTGCAATTTTTATTTCTGCTAGACCCACAGCATATTTTACAAGTTTTCAGCTTCTAGTAATTAAATAATTTCTATTCTTCTATTTCTGTATTATTTCTTCAGATTTTTTTTCACATTTCTTTTTTATAATTGCCCATTTATGCTCACTTCATTAGGATTATAATTTAAACTTCTGAAGGATTTCTGGTGAATGTAGTGTGTCCGGTTCTCTAGACAACAGTTAACTGCTCGTCTTCTGTTTTCCCTTTGATTTTTAAGCTAACATAGCTTTTGCACTTGAATATAGAGAGCAGTATGACAACTATTTCTCTCCTGATTTTGAAACACTGATGATGCACTTCAGCTGTAAAACTTGTTTGTTTTGGGGTGTGTCTGTGTTGTCTCCCTACCCCCGATATAATAGGAGATACTGATTTTCAGTTCTGAAGATAAATTTTACTGAGTCTGGATGTTGTTGTGATACAGTCTCCCACAGCTGGGTCATCTTAGTTAAATGCAACCTGTGTACCTTTGCAGATAAGAAATATAACATTGATTAGTTCATAATGGAGCTATCGTAACAAACGTGTAATGATGAAATATTACTAGTACAGATCAAAATAGTGGAAGTACAGATCTAGATTGTATCTCTAATTAAAAAAAAAAAAAATCCACAACAGAAAAACACACCAAAAAACAACCAAATGAAACCACAACAGAACCAAGTTCCTGTGAAGCAAACAGCTGTTTGTTAAACAAAACATTATGCCAAGTTTTGATAAAATGCAAGTAAGAGTTTGACGTCTTGCCTTACTTTCAGTTACTCAACTACTTCATTTTCAAGCTTGTCAGTATTGCAGCCATTTGGTTTTTGTACTTGAAAACTTGCAGTAAATCAAGCTATTGTATACTTCCCTCTTCAAAGTGATGTCACATATATAGCTACTTATAAAGGTGTTAAAGAACTGGAGTCATGATTTCCTCTGGAGAGGAGAAGCCCTAAAAATGGAAAATTGAAATTTTGGAAAAGGTGCTCTGTAATGAAACTAAAGCATCCTCAGAAAAAAACACTGAATAATCTGAATTATGTCCTTGATGTACTTTTATTTTAACTGATTCTGACTTCAAACTGGCTTCTTGAAATAAGGAAAAATTTATTCAAATAAATAGAACACAGGTTCTTAACTGTTCTGTAACATGTTCATTATACTGAATGATGAACACATGTATCTGCATAATTGTTTGTTGATGTGATATAGACCTCCATAGTCTTTGTCTGTACCTATTATAATTTAGGATGAAATATTAAGTGGTAGCAGGGTGATGAAAATTATTTTCTTACACCTTACTGAAAGCATAGTGTGTTTTGGGTGACTTTAATGATATTCAGACTAACAAGTCTTCAAACACGTCTTGTCTTTTAGTGTCAGCATGTGTTTTCTGAATGTATTGTCCAATAAAACTTTTTATATTTGCAGAGCATGGTGAATATGATCCTCAGACTGTAAGACCAGGAAGCAGATACAGTCATGTGCAGGAAGTACAGGAGCGACTTAACTTCTTACGGTTAGTTTTAACTTGATTGTTTGTTTAACTTTTGTAAGAATACTTTAAAGAAAAAAAAACAAACAAACCTGGCATCTTTTTCTCTTATCTAGCTTTAAGTTGCTGTGTTAACTACTTCCAAAACTCAGATGCAAAAATACAGTGAATGGTTTTGGTTTTGGTGTTTTGGGTTTTTTTTCCCCCAGAGAGCTTCTGTGCTAGTGTTGGAATATCCTTCAAATAAAGTTTATTAAAATCTTTGCAATCCAAGGCTATGATTCTGCACTAAGATTCTTATGGCTTGTCTGTGTGCAGAACCCTACTGACTTGAATACAATGTGCATATGGATACAGTTACCATACTTAGTTGAAAATTTAAAATATTCCATGTAGGAATATGTCCATGTGGCCTTATTTGTTGTACCACAACAGATTTAAATTCATGATCATAAACTGACACATACTTTTGTCAGACAGTCATGTTAGGTTGTCAGCAACTGAGCCTTAAAAAGATTTTAGAATAAAAAAATTAATTGGATGACTTTTGACCAGCTGCTGTTTGAGTAAAATCAGACAATAAAGGATCTCTGCTCAGTATGTTGATGTTTTTTAGGCTATATCTGTCTCAACTTTTTCATACTTTGTTTTAAACTTTCATTAAACAAGTAAAAATACATAAATTGTCAAGTTCTGGAGTATTTTTTACTTGTTTTCTAAGGGTGGATTTTTTTTTTTTTACTTTTTAAAATTTTACCAATAATTTTTATGAATTAAACTGAAGTGTTAAACAACTGTTTAATGAAATTACACAATGGCATATGGATAGCAGACTTAACTTATCACTCCTGCATTGTTAAAAATTGTAACTTCCTTAAATTTAAGTTCACTAGTTGCTAATATAAAGGAATTTATGAAGTCCCATTGCTGTCAAGTGTATTTGTCAAATTTTTCAAATATGTAGGTAGCGATTTCTGAAAAGCAGTGCCATAACTTAGTCACTGATTTATTTCACATAGAAAAGATTTTGAGTAAGAAAAGTTCTTAATAATTCTTTAATATTAATTTAACATAAATTAAAAACATACTTAAACAAAAAGAAAAATTTTCAGTTCATTGACTTCTGCTTCTTGCTCTATTCCATAGAATTGATACTTTATTTTGTAATTTTGCTAAAGAGAGTGCCAAAACATAGTGAATGATTACAGAAGTAATTTAATCTCTTGTGTTGTGACCTGACGTTTAAACTCAATGGTTTACATTAGGAGATGTGCATTTGTTTGTATATAATATCTGAACAACGCTTGGTATTTTTGTGTAAAACAATTTTTGCTGAATTTTATTCCTTTTTTGTTTGGACTATAAGGTCTTGATCATTCAAACTTACTAAGAAATCATGGGGCTAATTATGAGTGGACTGTTGATATAAATGATGTTTTGGGGGTCATACTTTTGATATATACATGTATAATATGCGTATTCACCTTTTTACCTGTACTTTTTACTGAACTGTAACTCTAGATGTCTATTAGACAGTGCTGTTAATTGTCTTTTTGTTTTGCTCAAGATTTTTGTTGAAGGATGGTCAGCTGTGGCTCTGTGCCCCTCAGGCGAAGCAAATATGGAAGTGTTTAGCTGAAAATGCGGTTTATCTTTGTGATCGCGAAGCCTGTTTTAAATGGTATTCCAAACTAATGGGGGATGAACCAGACTTAGACCCTGACATTAATAAGGACTTCTTTGAAAATAATGTGCTTCAGCTGGATCCTTCCCTATTAACAGAAAATGGAATGAAATGTTTTGAACGTTTCTTCAAAGCTGTGAACTGTCGAGAAGGAAAGCTAGTAGCAAAAAGACGAGCCTATATGATGGATGATCTGGAATTAATAGGATTAGACTACCTTTGGAGGGTGAGTTAATTGGAGGAAGCATCTGAAAGGTTAACTGCTGAGTCTTTCTCAATTTCTTTTTAAATTTTGTGTAATTTGGTAGTTATAGACTGAAATTACAAAAAGCTACTTTTTCAAGCTGAATGCATGGATATTGATTCCACTCTTTTCCCAGCAAGTATGCAGGTTGGTAACTTTGCAGATTTATGTTTAATCGAAAGTTATTTGAAACATCAATTATATTTGTGTATGCATTAGATTAAAAATTTGCCTATACTGTTGAAGAATAAGGGATCATTCCAGGTGAATTATCTGTAGGTTTTTCTCTCTCTCACGCGCACATTAGGATTGAACTTGTTTTGAGTGCTTGATAATCTAGTTCATGTCATTCATTCTGGTATGGTAAGCTAGAGCGATTCTAGATTAGACCAAGTTGCAGTTGATACAATAGGTGGATGGAATCCCATCCAGAGGGACCTGGACAGGCTTAAAAAGTGGGCCCATGAGAACCTAATGAGGTTCAACAAGGCCAAGTGCAAGGTTGTGCACTTAGGTTGGGGCAACCCCAGGTATGTGTACAGAATGGGAGAAGAACTCATTGAGAGCAGCCCTGCTGATCTAGTGGTTGGCACCCCGTCCACAGCAGTGGGAGGTTGGAACTAGATGATCTTTAAGGTCCCTTCCAACCCAGATCATTCTATGATTCTAAGTGATCACTGGTCTGATTCTTTCTCTTAAATCCACAACCTTTTACCTAAACATGTTTATAGCTTTTCAATAAGAAGATTGTACCTTTCTAAAGCTTGCCAAATCTGTTAGTGAAAAACATCAGTATCTGATTTGATACTTAATTTTTTCAGAGTATTTCTGGTTTTCAGGAGCTGCATTAGAACCTGCAGTAGCACGCTTTGGCATGGTTGTCATGCTTTTTAAAACGTGCCGTGTATAAAGCAGCAGTCTTCAGTAATTTTGATTGTGGCTTGTTGAAGGGTTAGGTATTTCAATCATGGTGATAATAGTTAAAATCAAAAGTATATTATAATATTTTTATACAGATAAGTTTTCACACAGTGCTTGTGTTCATAGTGCCCGCATAATGCTAGCATGTTTTAGTTGTGGGAATCAACTTATTTGGACCTGCCCTGCTGTTTGGCAGTATGACAGAACTCATGAAGCTTCAGCTCAGTATCCTGCAGGGCCTGTCTGTCAGGGCTGCTTTCAGACCTTGTGGCAAGTAATTAAAATTTAGATTATCAGGTTAGAAACAGAACTCATTTGCCTGTCCCCTTTCCATCCGCTCACAGAAATTTAAATAATTTAAAATTCTATTTTAAATCTTTGGTGTAGATTGTTCAAGCATCTGAAAAAAAATATTGTCTTAGTCTCTGAAACTAGTGAAAATGGGTATGTACTATGAAGATGAATATATCAACACTAGTTTTATTCTGTTTATAAAGCATTAGTCTTTTTTGTTAACTCTGAACGCCTTTAAACTAGTTAATTTTTAATTTTGATTCTTATATAATTAACTTTGCTATATTGATTGTATTTTGTAACTAAGTGTTTTAGTCAGTTTCACCTCATAAAATAATTAGACATACTGTTGTTTCAAGATCCTTGTGTAGTGGTTTTGTTTTTAAATTTCATGCTAGAAAGTTTTAAGATGTCCTAATGCTTTTTTTTTTTTTTTTAATTGTGCTAGGTTGTGATTCAGGGAAATGATGACATCGCAAACAGAGCAATAGATCTTCTTAAAGAGATCTATACTAATCTTGGCCCAAGGTTACAAGTTAATCAGGTAAAATACCAAACAAGCAACAAGAAAAGTGGAATACAATATGATAGAAAAACAGTGATAAAATTCAATTCGGTTATATTTTTATATTTGAAAGCTTTGAAAACAGAGAATAGTTTTCATGTTTTGTAGAGTATACTCCTGAGTCCAGCCATCAGGTTCTGGTCAGATACAGAATTAAAGAGTTTTTTCTAATATTTGGAGACTAAATTCTGATAAATTTTTCAGATTAAATAGTTCTGTCGTATTTACTCTTTCTATTCAGAAGCTAATTTATGTGATATACATAGGTTAGCCTTTTGTTGAACTTCCGATTGTGGTATTTATTTGTACTAGTATGTTCAGTGGATGGGTCTGTTGAGTGTTGTCAGAAGCTAATCTATATGCTTTTTTATGTCATGTCCGTTACAAAGGGTCACAGAGTTTCAATACAACGGTCAAGCTGAGCTCTAGCAAATCAGATATTAGCTCCCTACACTAGTATGTGCTGGGAGCTGTGTTTCAGTGGGCAGAAAGGAGAGGTAATAAGTTCTGAAAGGTCAGAGGAAGTGAACTGTTGGGATTTCACAGACTGGGGGGGTTGGGAATTGTCCTTCAGATGATCTCTGATTGGTAGCTTACCAGTTGTATTTCTTGAAACTCTAATTTTCATACTTGTCCTCAAAACCACTTTTATAGTCTTCAGAGCTGCCAGTCTGGTAGATAGAGCACAGCTGCTCCGGGTGGTGCATTTACAGCCGATCAAGCTTGATCTGACTGTAGTGGCAGATGGGCTGTATGCTTCTTTCTTGCTATAGGTCTGGGCTTACTAAGCGTGCATAGATCTGTCTATCTGCACATAGTTAGATCTGATACTTTGGGAAATGTTGGATTTACTTAACATGCACACAGGGATTTTGCTTCAGTGGGCTGATAATGCCTCTACTCCTGAGCTGCCTCTTAAGGAAGGTGGTTCCTGGGCTGTGGTTTACTGCCGTAGCTATGACTCCTGGTGTTTCTGTTGCACACGGCTTCCTGGAGACACTGCAGACTTTTTACAGTGATACTGTAGGTTTTACGTCAGTCTAGGTCAGGAGCAAGGAGATGTTAGATATCAGGCAGAAGGAAGAGATTTGCTGCAGCTGCCACTGTACTGAATCTAGCTCAGAATACATTTCTGAGTTCATGCAGGAAGAGAGTGTATCTGGAACTGGGTAATGTGATTTGGGGGTGGGGAGGGGGTTGCATAGTTGTTCTGGTGGTCTGTAAATGTTCTGTGTTCACTCTTAATGCAAAGTAAGTTAACCTGTACTAGATTCTCAGCTAGGGTTTCTTTAATATAGTATGAGGAAACGAGTAAGAGAAGTCCAATTTAGTGTTCTCTGTGCAAACTTTGACTTTTTCTATTTAAGTGCAAGTTTGCACTGGACAATTACAGCTACTTAGGCAAGATGACATGCGAGATTTTTGAAGTGCACACTAAATTAGAACTATTTATTAATGGGAGTTTATTCTAAAATAGAATAAACCAATTTTATAGAGTAACTTACCTGATTTTGTTTTGGTGGTGGGTTTTTTGGTGGTGGATTTTTGTTTTTGTTTTGCTTCTACCATTGGATTATCCTACCGAAAAGGTATTTTTTAATATTTCTTGTAATTACACCAATTTTTTTCTGTAATTAGGTAGCAATTCATGAAGACTTCATTCAGTCCTGTTTTGATCGTCTAAAAGCCTCCTATGATACATTATGCGTGTTGGATGGAGATAAAGACAGTATCAATTGTGCAAGACAAGAAGCAATACGAATGGTGAGAGTGCTAACTGTTCTAAGAGAGTATATCAATGAATGTGACAGTGATTACCACGAAGAAAGAACTATTCTACCTATGTCAAGGTATGTGTGAAAATGCACTACTGTGATTTTGATTTCTGTTAACTAAAATATTAGTAATATCTTTGTGATTTTTACATTCTGAAGGATTTCTGTTCAGGGAATGTATTTATAGAGTTTCAAAATTCCATTTTCTTTGCTAATACACGAACATGATCTGTAGTAAAAAAAAAAAAAGTTGAAAGATTAGGCAAATACAGGCAGATATAAAAGGGACAGCAGACCTGAGGATAAACTTGTTTCTGGTGTTTTGTTCTGTAACTGGCACAATGTACATACCTTGTGGCTAGATTGTTTTGGATGTATTAATTTTTTCAGATAATTATTAAAAACAGTACCATATTTTAAGTTAGGATGGGCAAAGCTTCATAGTACTGTCATACAAAAAACATGTTGTTCATGTAGATCTTCATCTTCCAGAGTTGTTTACAGAGATGCTAATCTTATTTTGCAAGCTTAAATTTAGGATTGTCTCCAAGTGAAATAATCATAGTATAAGTTCCTTGTAAAAAGGGGAAGAAGAGAACAGCACTTTGAAGTATATTTATTTTCTCTATACCTTCACTCTTAAACTTTTCCTTGAGTAAAAACTTAGCTTAAAACCTGGCTGCTCCTTCTTTAACGCTGTCTTTGGTAGAAAGAAAAAGGAATCCAGTGTTGTGTAGGTATTTTCACAAGCAAAATACCTTATTCCTGAGGGAGAAAAGCCGAACAGAAAACTGTTTAAATGTTCCAGTGTTAGTAGCTGCTTTCTGTGGGATGTCTCAAAAATATATAAGGAACACACTGAGATTGCAATGGATTTATGATGTAGCTAACATATTTTTAGACATGGTGGAGGTTTGTTATCCCCTTATTTTAAATTGTCTTTTTGTCAAGAAAATCAGAGAGGTTGCTGTTTTTTCATGATGCATCAGTAATTTTCAGTGTTCCTACAGCATTTTTATTGTATATATTGATTAGTCCCAACTAAGTTCTCTTGTTGATTGTGGGTGCATCTTTTTTATATGGGCTGCTTATTTGGTGAGGCTAACTTTTTCATAGGTCTTGTTAGCAAGGAGCTTTTATGAGGAATTTTTACCTTTTTTTGTTGCACAGGATTAGTTTGTTTGGCTTATCTGGGCACATCTTTCCTAGTGAGTTCCCTGCTGTTGTGCAAAGTGTGATCAATGCTAGTGTGAAAATGTTTCTTCTTCTTTGACCTCTTAAATTTTTTAAAAGCATTTTTATTTTTAAAATTAGAATTCTAATATAAAACTTTTAACAGCTTTTGACAGCCAGGAGGCATTAAGACTTGGTGACTCGATGGCTTTTTCTGATTTTGGTGTATTTAAAATTGAGTTGTTTTGCTAAACATAGTTGCCAGTCTGATTGAGCTTTAAATGTGCAAATTAGCAAATAAAGCACATTTCTACAAGCCCAAGGAAAGATCTAAAGCTTCATAAGAGCCTTTTAAAAATTCTGTCAATGTTCTTAACCTGACTGTAAAGTTGACCATAAATTTAATGCAGTTGTGCTGAGTGTGTCTTCTTGAAAGTTACTCTGTATGTTATGTTTGTGTAATTGCTGGAGTATATCACCATAAGTAAAGATTTGAGGTTAGGAGGATGGAGCCAGACTCTTCTCAGTGATGCCCAATGATAGGACAAGGGGCAGTGGGTGTGAGCTGGAACACAGGAGGTTCCACTTAAACGTGAGAAGAAACTTCTTTACGGTGAAGGTGACGGAGCACTGGAACAGGCTGCCCAGGGAGGTTGTGGAGTCTCCTTCTCTGGAGACATTCAAGACCCGCCTGGACACCTTCCTGTGTGTTCTCATTTAGGTGTCCCTGTTCTGGCAGGGGGATTGGACTAGATGATCTTTTGAGGTCCCTTCCAATCCCTGACATTCTGTGGTTCTGTGATTGCTGTAACACAAAATACAGCAGGAAAAATAATTTATTTCATGAGGGCAAAAATAACTTTCTCTGGTTTGTTTATTTTCAGAGCTTTCCGTGGTAAACATATCACACTGGTAGTTCGTTTTCCAAACCAAGGCCGACAGGTGGAAGATCTGGATATTTGGTCTCATACCAATGACACAATTGGCCAAGTACGGCGTTGTATTCTCAATCGTATTAAAGCCAACAGTGCTCACACAAAAGTAGAACTGTTCATTGGTGGTGAGCTGGTGGACCCTGCAGATGACAGAAAATTAATTGGGCAGTTGAATCTCAAAGATAAGACGGTAAGTGTTGCAGGTTGCTTATTTACATCAGTTCATATGTCAATTCCCTTTTGTAAATGCTTGAAAAATACCATGCATGTGGTCACTTATTCTTGTGAATATATTCTAGTTCTGGTTTTCCTCCTTGTATGATGCCATTGACATTATATCGGATGGTTATTTAGTGAAGAATCTTCATTTTTGCATAGTATTAAAACTCTGATTGTGTTTTTCAGCTGATTACGGCTAAGCTTACACAGATAAATTCTAATATGCCCTCAAGTCCAGATAGTTCTTCTGACTCTTCAACTGGTTCTCCGGGCAACCATGGCAATCACTACAGTGATGGTCCAAATCCAGAAGTTGAAAGCTGTTTGCCTGGAGTGGTAAGCATATTCTGAAATGAACAGTTTAATAACATTTTTTCCCTATACTTTGTCTTTAACCAATGATTTTTATGGGGTTTTAATTTGCTTATTTTAAGATCATGTCACTGCATCCTCGATACATCTCTTTTCTTTGGCAAGTTGCAGACTTGGGCAGTAGCCTAAATATGCCACCTCTTAGAGATGGAGCACGTGTTCTTATGAAGCTCATGCCACCAGGTAAAACTTAATATTATCCTGTTTTATCTTGTAATATCCTTTATAATAATTTCCCATTTGTTATATAGAAATGAAAATGGAGATTATTTTCCACTTTCTGGTACTTTATTGATACTGTATTTCATGACTGTTATCCTGATTAGGATTGTAAATGTATTTCCCAAATAGTTACTTCTTGTCTGTCATAAAAAATTGTGTAGTTCGCAGTTGGTACTGAGGTTCAGTGCCACAGTGCACTTCAGTGCAGTTAAAATGGGGAGAAGCATTGTACTTTTGAAGCAGTTTTGTAGCACTGCATTAATAGGATCGCTTTTATACTGACAGAAATAATTATTGCAGAGCACTTCCTAGTCTGATCCTGTCTGTCAGTTACATTTTTTTTGCAACTTTTTAATACGCTTAAAATTTTTCAGATTGGTAATTGTAAATATTGCTGGCTTGTTCTGGATTAGTTTTGTTACAAAATGTTTAAAAGTTGTGTTTTTATTGCAGATAACACTACAGTTGAGAAACTAAGAGCTATTTGTTTAGATCATGCAAAGCTTGGGGAAAGCAGCCTTAGTCCATCCCTTGATTCTCTGTTCTTTGGTCCTTCTGCCTCACAAGTGCTGTATCTAACAGAGGTTTGTGATGCTTTGCCTGTTCTTTAAAAATCTTCAACTCTGTCTTTGGCAATCCTTTCTGTAACATGGAAGCCTCAGATCAAATTCTGGTTTAAAATTAATAATTGAAAATACTTAACAATTTACTGAAATAAACTGGTGTATGGCCAGTACTGTCAAAGCATTGCTTAATGAGTATTCCAACATAATCTCATGTTCAATCATCTGCATTCAAGCTGGTGCATTTCTGTTAGTTAACTCTGTATTTTGTTCTGCAGGTAGTTTATGCCTTGTTAATGCCTGCCAGTGCACCTCTGGGAGAAGATGCCAGTGACTTCCAGTACAACTTCTTAAAAAGTGGTGGTTTGCCTCTTGTGTTGAGCATGCTGACTAGAAATAACTTCCTGCCGAACGCAGATATGGAAACTCGAAGGGGTGCCTACCTTAATGCTCTAAAAATAGCCAAATTATTGCTAACCGCAATTGGATATGGACACGTTCGAGCTGTGGCAGAAGCTTGTCAGCCCGTTGTGGAAGGCACAAGTACAATTTCACCGGTAATACAAATCTTCCTTGCTGCAAATAGCAATGTACTCTGGTTTTTATATTGTCCGCAGCATTATCTGTCTTTGAATTCTGATTCTTTTGAGCTGTTGAGTCTGTTGGAGGATATACCTCTGAATTTCTTGCATGTCTAAGTTGTTATTAGAGCATAAAACAACGTAATTGATGTTGAGTCACGGCAGCCCTTTTTCTGCCAAAAAATATGTCCTTGACTTGCTAGATTCCTAGTTCTGCTCATTGCTTGTAGAAAGTTCTTGCAGAGAACAGCTAGGTACATTGCAGAGTTAAGTGTTCATAGTTGAAAGGTGTCCTGCCCTAAGATTTCTTAGATTTGGAAAGGGAAAGTGTAACACAGGTGTTCTGAACGGTAATCTTGCATGCCTATAGTAGTAGACTTTATGCATGTTTAATATGGCGAGTTAGTTTTTCTGCATCTGGACAAATACGTTGTTGGTCAGGATTTTATTTCTGCCCTCTTTCAATACATGTACAGCATAGAGGCCAAAAATTAAAATTTCCCAATGTCCTTTGTGGAATATTTTTTTTTATTTTGTGAGTTTCCATCCCAAATAGTTGTTTGAGCTGTCAGTTTATACTCAAGGATACATAGAGGGCTTCAGTTCAGAGCACTTTTTTCCAGAGTATTTACTGAGATCCACCTCTGAAGCAGTGGAGTACATTCTTCCGATTCTTTTTCAAGGAAATCAAAACTCTTGATGATTACTAAGAGGTGAAGATCCCTTTTCATGTCTCATGTTAGAATGTAGTAGAAATATCTTAAAGAAAACATGGTTGCCACCCTATCCTTCATCTATTTAAAATGAGTAAATTTTGCTGCCCTGTTTTATGACAATTACTCAAAAGGCTATTTGGAACACAGATAACATTGGTTGTGTCTTGAGGTATTGTTTGAAACAACAGTGTTGAAGTACTGTTTGAAACAGATATATGCTGACTACTAAGGAGGTAGTAACATGACTGCTGACATCCACTGTTTAGTGTTGCAAATATCTAACTTTATTATTAACTGGTTTGTTGGAAAAAACACTGTCATTCTTGCTGTCATCAGCGTCCTGTTTGAAGGACTTTGATCTTGATACTTTTTAGTGCTGCAGGACCAATAAGCTTACACCTTGGAAGGGAGGTGAGATTTGTAACTACCTTTCATCTAGCTTATCTAAAGCATAAGTGCCATAGCATAACTTTCTGTCTTGGCTTTCCATCAGTACTTAAGAGGATGAGGTAACCAAGATTATTTGTCTGCAGTCTTCCAGTTACTGGTCTACTGCTGTCACTAGGACCTTTTACATTTTTATTTTCTTCCTTGCTTTCATGGAAAGTTGAATCAATAATGTTAGTATTCTGGTACATAGATCCTGGTTTGCCCCAATATATATTGTGTTTGGTTATTTACAACCTGCTTCCAATAGCTAATGGACTCTGTAAACTCTATTAGTCTTCAGTGGGAGTTCTGTAATTCTGCTCCTCAAATCAAGTATCTTAGTGAAGCTGACAGAGCAAAGGGATATGACCAACATGAGGTGTTACAGAACAACTTCAGAGTATGTCTTTTGAACAGCATTTGAGACAGGTTTTTTGGATGAAATGATACTAAAAAATGAAGAAACTCTTTTATACAAGAAGTTTTAACTTGTAACCACAGCACACAGTCTTTTCAAGGAAGTTTGTCTGTGAGAAGGAAACAAGCATTTCAGATTTGAACTGTCAAAACTATGAAGCTCTGCCAGCCCAAGAAGAAGGAACTCTATGCTCAAATCACTACAGCAAAGATAAAAACTTGTCTTGCTGCTGTTTCTGTTTTGAAAGTTTTTCAATAGTGCTCTAAAAAGTGTTTAAAAGGAACTTGACTGTAATGAACGCTGCAGCCATTTTCTGTCTGAACACATTCAGGTAATCCAGAGGGAGACCCATTGTTTTAGCAAACCCTTTATTTTCCTACATCAACAGAAAGGGAAGGAGGCATTGTAATTCTAAATGTTCTGTTAACTTGAAATAATCTGATCAATGAACAAACCCCCAAACCTAAATAATTTTGAGCAAGTGCCTCTTCTCTTAAGTCTCTGATTGTACACTGTAGCATGCAGTGTCTTCAGATGTCATGGTATCTATTTGAAAATGAAGGGACTTATTTTTCTTGGTGTTTGCAGTTTCTGTAAGTAGTTTTCCTTCCAAGATCTTATCTACTTCTACCAAACCTTTCCAAGCAACTTAAGATTTTCATATCTTCTTACTTTCTTTTTTTCATCTAAAAATAACCATAAGAAATACTTTCTTCCAGATAAACCAGGCTACGCATGACCAGGCAGTGGTGCTACAAAATGCCCTACAAAACATTCCTAATCCAACTTCAGAGTGCATGCTAAGAAATGTAGCAATACGCCTTGCACAACAAATATCTGATGAGGTTAGTGAATTCCTTTCTGTATCACCTTCTTCTCTTGTAGTATCTCTTCTTTTTCTTTCTTTAAAAAAAAAAAAAATCCTTAAATTTACTGCTTTAAGTAATGGATTTTCCTTCTAAATTGTCATGAAACATTTTAGTTAATGTTCATGTGGTTCATAAGCTGTTAACTAATTAAAAGTATTTAATGAATTGTTTCCATATGCAATTATGAAATTCAGTATCTAATGCCATAAAGAGGCTTAAGTGAGCTAGGCAGGTTCTGTACAAGCTCTTTAATGGGTTGTGAATATTGTGGCACTTAGTTAAAAACTTCGGAAATTTTATGTAGTAGATTTGAATAAGTTAGGTATTTTGAAAACATTTTTGTGATACTTTCTTCTTTTTTTGGTCTTTTATGTTTTGTTTTCTGAATAACATCCTCTTCCTGAAGAGGAGCACAGGAACAGGGGAGAGAGTTTTTAAATTCTGAGCATGATTTTTAAATGCTGAAAGATAAGTTGCAAATTGTTGCCAGTGTATATATTGAAAATGCATTAGTGATACAAGTGAAAAATTGGATTATGTCTCTCGGTTGGGTTAAACAATGTGCTTTGCAAATACAATAGCCTTGTCTGTAGGGTACTGTGCGATATGACCAAACTCCACTTGGATTTGGAAGTATGAGTCATGTTACTGAATACATAAGTGAATTCCCCTGAATTCAGCAGAAGTTAAAATCTGAACTTCTGCAACTTCCTCTTCCATGGTGAATTGAGATCACTCAGTTTCCAGTGTGGAAGCAGTGAATATTGTTTTTCTATACTGTATAGAGTCTCTACAAGCTATCTGCAAAACATTTCTGAGCTATCTAAATAAAAGTAGTCTTGTATTATCATCTTAATGTTGAGAAGTGCACTATTTCTTCTGAACAAAGAGCAGTCTCCACAGAAAGCACAATATACTAGACTTCAAGACTGAACCATCTGCCTTCCATTAGTGGTGGTATTGCATCCATAGGTGATTGTATGTGTGAAATCAGCTAGTTAAACTGTGATTTAATTAAATTACTTTGGCAGAAGAAATGTCTTTTGAGATGAGGGTACACAGAAAGATTTTTTTAATTTTGCCTTTGTCCTATTTCGACAACTTATAATAAACATATAAATTATTTTTCTTTCACCAGGCACTTCAAAGCAAACAAAATCTGAATTTCTCTAACAGTATTACTGCTAAATTATTGTCTATAATTTTCTGAAATTATGAAGACTGCTGTAGATGTAAATTTCAAATGTATTGTAGTTTGCCTTTGAAAGATTTTTTTTCTTTTTTGATAGTGAAAGACTCTTTTCAACTGACCTCACAATTAAAAAAAAAAAAAA